CGGTTCCGGTCCGGCCGGCATCCACCGTGTCCTGGCATCGTCTCCCCAAATTGGTGCTGCTGGTGGCTGCCTCGGCCCGGTGCCCCGGCGTTGGTTTGGAGCTGAAGGCATCTGCCTGGTTCTGGTGGTGTGTCCCCAAATCGGCACTGCCGGGGTCTGGCCGGTCCTGGCATGTCAGCATCAGTTCAGCACTGTCAGCATCTTCTTCGTCTTGGCATAGCGGCTCCGAATCGGTACTGCCGGCATCAACCCAACACCGCAACATCGTTTTGGCACTGCCGGTGCCTGTGCTGTCCTGGCTGCTTGGCATCGGTTTGGCACTGGTGGCATCTGCCGGGTGTTGGCACGGTGGCCTCAAACCGGCATTGCCGGTGGCCTCACCGTCCTGACTCACCCACATCGATTCGGCACCGCTGGCGTCTGCCCCGGCCTGGCATCGTGGCCCCAAATTGGCGCTGCCGGTGTCCATCCCGTCCTGGCACCTTGGTGCGGTTTCGGCGCTGCCGGTGTCCTCCCGGGTCTCGTCTGCGGCACAAGGAGAGAGGGGGTGAGCAGGCAGCACCCAAAGGTGGTGGTGGACCCCCCCTCGGTACCGGGGACACTCCAGGGACACCGGTGATTGGCGCCGGGGTCACCGGTGATGGGAACAGGTCCCCGTGGGCAGCCCGGTGCCACGGTACCGATGGGTCCCACTCCCCCGTGCCTTTCCCAGTCCCGACCTCTTCCCCGGTGTTTGCTCCCCAGTACCGACTCCCCGCTACTGGGTGCCTCTCCCCACCGGCTTCACCCCAGTCCCAGTATCCCCCAGTCCCTGGTACTGGCTCCCCCGATACTGAGCCCCGGTCCCTCCTCCCCGGTCCCGGTATCCCCCAGTCCCGGTGTTCCCCCGTACCGATCCCCGGTCTCTGCTCCCCAGTCCCAGTCCCCCACCCCATTCCCATTATCCCCTGTTCCCGGCACCCATATCTGCTCCCCGGTCCCAGTAACCCCCAGTCCCTTCTCCCTCTATCCCGATAACCCCCAGTCCCGTCCCCTGCTGTTCCTGGTATCCCCCGGTCCCTGCTCCCGGTATCCCCCGTTCCCGGTAAACCCCAGTCCAGCCCCCCACGTCC